TATTATTTGGGGGGGATGATGTATGAATTTTGTTTTTCTATGAATATTTTACAAAACAATGTTAAGTTACATTTTATGATTTTGTATGAATATGGTTATGTTTGATTATTATTGTTTTTTAATTCAAATGTTACTGGGTTTTATGTTTCATATTTATCCATGACCACATCACTTTGTCCACACGTGTATATGTGAGTAGTTAGCTTCTGTAGTTACAAGACGTTGAGAATTGAACATATATCAACTTAGGAACCTGAAATCATATCCTTTGCTTTTAACTGCGTTTGATTAATTTTTATACACAATCATTTATATTAACTTTTGTCAAAAAAAATAACAGGTGAAGAAGATATATGGTTATTCTAGAGCCGCCACATTTGATTTATTAGATGTTGTTGGAGTTCAACCGGATAGATATTTTTACTGATATGGTTTTCCTAATTTGGTGGCTAAAGACTCAACATCTGAATTTATATGAATTATATGTATTATATGGTGATTGAAAGTTTGTGTGGTGGATCAATATTGTCATTTGTATGGTTTTGAATATTGTGAAGTATGAATATAATTAATATTACTATTTTTATTTTGGTTGGATGAATATTTTATAAGACAATATCAAGGCTTTTAATGATTATTATGTATGAATATTGCTTGTTTTGGATATTGGCATTGTTTTTAATTTAGATTTTACTAGTTTAATTTTTATGAATAAAATTTAAAATATATTTAATATTAGTATTGTTTTTTATATTTAACATATATTATTTAAAATTTAAAATATATTAATTTATGCTAATTAATTTAATCATCGTTTGATTAATAAACCTTGAATTAATGCTTTGGCTAGTTTAATAGGGGGTTAGGTATTAAATTCTAAACCTTTATTAATTAAGCCCTTAAGATTAATGAAGTAGAATTAAAAGTACTCCTGTAAGATGCACACAGTGTTCTTGTATCCCTATCAAGTATGTTAAATATATTTCAATGGATTTACAGAAAAACATGCTCCCTTATTAAAAAATAAAAAATATTTTTATTCGAATCTCACTCTTAATAAATTAATTAATTATCTTTAAATTAATACTATTTTTTTATATTTACCATTATTTAATGGTGTTCTACTTAAAAATAAATATTAAATAATTTATTTATTAAGAGCGTATTTGTAAATAAAACATTAATAATTCATTGAAACACTAAAAAGTTTTTTTAATATATAATCCTTTAAAAAATGTCTTATACTTTGGCTGCGAGAGTATCATGGTCAATTAATATTTTCAAATCATATCATATTATATTAAATATAACACAAAAATCTAATGATTTATCAATATATTTAACAGCAAAATTTAATCTGAATACCTACTTACCCATGTGAAGATCAAGGGATTTGAAGTAGTGGCTAGAAATATTATAGAAAGCGATTCACCACCGTCTCATCAGCAACACAGTCCACAAGTCGTTGTGAAAAAACTATGTACAGAATGAAACCTCTTAAGTGCACAGAGAATAATTTATTAGACTAAAACTAACTTTTTCTTCAAATCAAATCAAAATTTCACCACTAAAAAAATACCGCCACTGATTGAAGGAGAAGGATATATTCTTATTTTTATGCTGTGTTTGAATGGAGGGGAAAAGAGATTTGTGTTCTTTGATTTATTCTCTTCACTCCACGCGCCTGGATCATATTTCTTTTATTTAATGGCCGACAAGCAAATCAACCAAATCATTAAATGCTTGTTTTATTAATATTATCTATAAATTACAATATATAATTAAATCACATTTTTAAGATTAATCATAATAAGTTAATCTGTATTAATAATTAAAAAATTATCAATATTAAATTTTTTTAATAAGTTCTCATCGATAATTTAATAAAAAATATTTATAAAATGATAAGTTTATTACTAAGTTTTAAAATTTTTTTAATAATTGACAAAGTAAATTTTAATAAAATAATAAATTTATATAAGTTTTTGACATATAAGCTTTTGATAATAAAAACAAATAAATATTTTTAAAAACCTGTTTATTTTTAATAAGTCTCATTAATCCTTTCATAAGTAATATTTTATAATAATAAATAATCATTAAACTCCTGATAAATATTTATATAAAAAGTGATAAATAAAGTTAAAATTACATATATAAATATCTGCATTACATATTTGAAAGGAATTACTAGCCTTAGTAGCTCCTTTTGAGTGGCTAGGGGATGTGGGTTCAGATGACGAGTAGTTTTATTTTTTTTACATTAAATTTAATTACATTTTGATTCCTTACTCCCAACAAAGCAAATTCAAAATCTTTTGATCCTTTTTATAAATAAGATGCTAGACAGCTCCTTCATTTTGATCTTCCCTATACTAAGCCTGCGATAGGGAAACAAAATCCCGACTACATGTGATTTTATCAAAATTATCTAAACAGAATATTTTTTTGACCCAAAATATTTCTGAGCAGGAATAAAGAATGAGAAATCAATTATAAAATCTGGATTCGTATAAATTTATCTATAATTCTTAATTTATGGGTATCACATCTCACATCCTGAAGCTGAACGGCATCTAGTTCCCAATGCTTTATTCATTGTGGATAAAAATCAGACCCAAAAAAATAAAAAAACAGAGAGAAGAATATGATGCGTTGAAAAAAGTGTCAAAGGAAAAACTTTGAGCTGAAAGATGAGAAAGGACAAGGTGTGTTTTTGTGGCAGATGCTTGCTCATTTATAAATTCGCTATAGATATATTATTTCTATTTTTTATTTACTTAACAAAAATTTATTATTTACAATAAAATTAAATTTTTATCTAAAAAATTAAATTAAATTTTTAATTAACAGTAGGAAACATATTGATACTTTAAAATTTTATTAATATTTTTTGTATTATTAAAAAATATTAAATTATTATCGTTTATAATTAAAAATGAAGCTTAAATTATATTTTATTATTAATAATAAAATTAATGAAAATATAATTTATCATGCTTCGTTTGATTTTCTCGTAGGCTTACTTTTTTTTTTTTTGGGCAAAAAAGAAGAATAACACCGCCATTTGATAAGACTGTGTCTGTCATGAACGCTTAACCTCAGGGCTTAGAGTCTCAGACTAAGGAAAATTATCACGTACGTTCAAATTTGAATGTGCCATCCATATCCTTATTTCTTAGAATGCCAGTAACATCTAAAAACGAAAATTAATAACAATTAGGTTTTCAAGAAAATTTTCTTAACAAAGAGTCATAAATATTAATTCAAATAATTGAAAAAAATTCTAAATGCAAACTAAGCGAGGAATATAAATGTTTCATTTGCGGTTGAAACTCCTTAACTTATACTATTAAAATAAGTATTTGTAACTTGTTTTGAAAATATTTTATTTAAAAACTAACTATCATTAATTCGTTTTTTTTTTTTACTACTTAAACGTGATTCTCGGTTTTTATTAATCGAGAAAATGTGACTGATAGGGAACATTACATTAATGATGTTCATTTGATCTTTTAATTTTAGACATGTTTTAGTTTGGTTCCTTAATTTTATCAAATATTTTTCAACCTTCTAACCTTAACAATGTTAATCTCTCAAATGATACTCCCTCTGGTCTTATTTATAGGATAGAGAGAGAAAATTTTTTTAATTTTATTTATAAGTTACGTTATTAAAGTTTTATTATAAATTTTTTTTATCCTCCATTGAATGTTGAAAAGAAAAAATATATTATTGAAGATGTATATTTAATAAGGGTAAATTGATAACTTATTAAATTTTAAGTCAGAGTTAATAAGTTTTAAGTTTTTCTTGATATTGGTGAAATATATTGGAAGTAATTTCTAAATAGGACTAGAGTAGTAATATTTTTGTGTTAATCATTATTATTTTAAAAAATCAAAATCATTAGTTGATATTTAAAAATATTTTTTCAACATTTAGAAGTTGAATATCGACATTTTTATGTTAATAAAATTAATTGCGTTAAGGTTATATAATGACTGAAAAATGTTTTATAAAGTTAAGAAGCTGAAATAAAATCTTTCATAAAATTAAAGAATCAGAGATATACTTTTGCCATAATTATTTTTTCAAATTATTGATCAGGATATATACTCTCCCTTATTTTTATATATAAGAGGTATTCTATATAAGGTTTTCTGGATTCAAATTGTACGTGGTAATGTTAGATTCTTTGACAATTGGGAATTTTTTTTATTTTTAATCCTCTTAATGAGTTTTCTCAAAAACAGAAAAAAACTGTGCTAGGAATAAAATTTTTGAAAATATCTTACAATAAATATCATGAAATACTTCTCTTAGTTTACAATATAGGACATTGATAACTATTTCACAATTTAAAAAATTAATTGAAACCTTAATATTTTTAAAAATTATATATATTTCTAACTATACCCTCACTAGATGTTTTATATAAGTGTCTTAATAGTGATAATTGAAATTTTAAGAATATTTTTTAAAAATAATAAATAAAATAAGAATATAATTGTAAAAAATTTATAAGAATACTTAATATCCTATATTTTAAATAAAATTTTAGAAAAATAAATATATGATAACCAAGGTACTAAATTGAACCGCTCATGAAATCAATCAAAAATTAGTTTAAAAATTAATAATTATAATTATAATCAAACTGATTAAATATACCAATAATAAATAAAATATTTTATTAAATTGATTAAGATATTAATTTAACAATTTATACATTTAACCGGATTGGTTGAACGGTATTTCTCCATGCCACGATGATAAACCGGAAGGAGGACGCTAATAATTTTGAAGACCGTGTGGTCCCCTTACGAAAGACGTGTCTGCCTTTACAGTTGGAAAATGTCTCTATTATATTCCACCATATGGCGAAAATACCATCGTGCCCCTCCATATTTGCTTTATTCTCCCGTTGTCTTGTGTACGATTGAGCTATATATAGCGATTGCCGTAGCTTTCTGGGACATGAAATTTCTGAAAACACATTTGTAGAGAAGGAAGAAGACGAAGTGAGTTTCAATCTTTTTCTCAAGGTCCGATCAGATCCATTATTATCATTCACAAAATCATCAATATATATATTATGGATCCAGCTTGCATAGGCGGAGCCATATGGGACATGACCAAGTCTTTGTGTGGCTGCCTCAAGAATGAAGCTTCTTACGTTTATGACTTGGAAGAGAATCTTCAGTCTCTGGAAGAGAAATCCAAGAAGCTTGAAGACATGAAGAAAGATGCGGAAGCACTTATTGAAGAAGAAGAACTTACCAAAGGCGCGCATGGGACTCATAAAGTCAATACTTGGCTGCAAAATGTCGACAAGACTCAACAGGTAAAACACTTTATTTATTTATTTATTTAATTTCAAGTATTTATAGTCAATTAGTTAATTTCATGTTTTTAATCAGTTTAACAAATTGGCTCTCAGTTAATTTTGAAACTACGTATAACTTGTAAAATCATTGTTATTGGATGAAATATAATTTCAAAATATAATCAAGAATATGGCATTTTTAATTTTTACTCAGTTAACAGGAATTTACTTCCAATGTTTAGACAAATAAAATAGCAAAGCAAGTCTATAAGGACTAATTAAAATGTCAATCAAATTTCAATCCTTTTTACTCCCACATATGATTTTTAATTATTTTATCGAAATCAAAAAAAATAATTAAGTCATTAACTTTGTCTAAATATAGAATAAACTTCCAATATTATTATCCCTCTTTAAATAAAAAGTTTTTATATTTGTATTACATTCTCTCTCATAATTAATGAATTTAAATAAGGGTAATATTTAAAAAAATATAATTAATATTTATTGAATAATTTATATTAAGGATTAAAGAATTCTTTTATAAAGTATATCAAGAGGTTGAAATAGGCCAAGTCAGATTTCAAACAGGTTGAACCTCAACTTGAACTTGTATTCATATACTTTTTTCTAAGCTCATACGATAGGCTTGACTTGAAAACTTTTTAAAGGCCTACTTCATATGTAGGGTTTAAAATAATTTTTAACTTTAGACCACAAAGTTTTTAATTAGGCATCAAGCCTATGTGTTTCATATTTTATATAGGCTTAAAAACATAAAACTATTTAAATATAAAATAATATATAGATATACAAATTTGAATATAATACAACACATAAATAAATAAAATATGTAAATTTACCTAAATAAGTCAAGCTTACAGGCTTATAGGCCAAGCTTTAGGACTTCAAGCTTAACCTATTTAGGTATATAAGCCTCTAAATAGGCCTTAAGTTTGGTCTTTTTATAAATAGGCCAAGCTAGGCCCCAATAAGGATAGATTGTAGGCTGTGTAATAAAAGTCTAGCTTACTTCCACCCATCAACAATTTATACAACAATTAGAAGAAATCTATCATTTTACCTCTATATACCTTAGGAGTTAATTTTTTCTGTCAACAAAACCTACTTCTTAATTCTTATGCTATTAAAAGATGTAAATCAAATTTCATTGTTTAATAAAGAATTTCAATATTTTCAAAATAAATCGTAATATTTTTTCTTATCATTATTTTAGTGTATTATTTATTTACTTTTTCAGATTTATAATGGGAACTATGATTGATAGATAAAATACTTTATTTCAATTTATTATAATACATCTGCTCCATTTTATAATAATTTTTTAGATATTTGATGTTTTGTTTTAAAAAAATAATGATTCCTTAATGCTACTAATTCTAAAATTACCTCTGGTTATTTCATTCTTTAATTATTTTTCTTTTTATTAAATGATTAATATTCTGGAATGTATTTAATTGATTTTGTTAATATTTACAATTTTTTTAAAAAGTCTCACAAAATGGAGCGAAACCGCGAAAGAAATATTTATTTAAAATGATTGAATTTTTTCAAATCTATAAATGAATATAAATTATTAGAAGTTGCAATGATTTCATTCGGTAAACAGTGGAAATATAAGTTTTCCCCACCTTTAAATGCAAATAATAGGGCGCGCTCAAATTACCATACAAGGCATGGAAATTTTCAAAAATAATAAAATCGGTTTTTCTTTAAAAAAATAGTATAATAACTAATAATTTTAAAGATTCAATTAATTGGGATGAAACTTTAAATGTATAATTAGATATTTTCTATGCACCTCTAGGCTCTTGCCACATGTTGAGAAAAATCGTTGAAATTGCGGTAAACATAAATAAATAAATAAAAATATAAGGACACCCTACCAAATATTTAAGTGTCCATCGATCCTTTCCAAGCTTCTTCAAATATTTAATTTTCAACTCATAGTTTATCTTGTTATTCACCCATGGTCTTATTTGATATTAACAAATGAAGCATGCTTATTCTTCTCTACGAGTATACGTACGTGTACACCTGTACATTCAAATTTTGATTTGAAAGTATAGAATGATAGATGATTAATTGTGAAGCTAATTAAAAACATTATATTTATAGGAAATAAAGAAAATCCAACCTCTTGAAGCTCAACAAACTCAAAACAAATGTCTAAGTAGATGTTGTTCAAAGAATTGTATGTCAAGCTACAAGCGAGGAAAGAATGTTGTAAAGATTCTACGAAATGCAAAAAACCTAGAAGATGAGGGGGAAAAGTTGTTTGGCAAGGATATTAAAATTACAATAGGGGTTCCACTGCGGACAATTAAGTTTCCTTCAGAAGAAACAGTGGGTCTAGACTTGATGTTGAAGAAGGTATGGAATAGTATTGAAGACAACAATGTTGGGGTCATTGGTTTGCATGGGATGGGCGGGGTAGGTAAGACTACCTTGTTAAAGAAAATTAATAATGAACTTGGAAAGAGATCATCAGATTTTTATGTTATGGGGGTGGTGGTATCTAAAAGGCCTAACTTGGACAACATTATGGACAACATCAGAAAATTGATAGGAATTGGAGAGACAATTTGGCAGCATTGTAGTAACCAAGATGACAAAGTAAGAAGGATTTATGAAATCCTAAAACAGAAGAAATTTTTTTTGTTATTGGATGATATATGGGAGAAATTACCCTTGGAAAGGGTGGGGGTGCCACACCCAAAGGAAACTAATTTTCAATCCAAAGTGTTATTCACAACACGATTTAAGGATGTGTGTGTGAAAATGGATTCAGACAGAAAATTCGAAGTGAAAATTCTAATAGATGAAGAAGCGTTAGAGTTATTTCGTATGAAAGTTGGTGTGGAAACTCTAAACTCTAACTCTAGAATTCCGAGGCTAGCAATGGAGATGGCTAGAGAATGTAAAGGGCTACCACTTGCACTAACTGTGGTAGGAAGTGCCATGGCTGGGGTGGAGAGCGTGGAAGCGTGGGAACACTCAAAGAATAACTTAAGGAGTTCTTCATATACAGCATCAGATTTGGAGAAAAAAGTGTTTTCCATCCTCAAGTTTAGCTATGATCAATTACCAGATGAAACCCACAAAAATTGTTTCTTATATTGTGCGTTGTACCCAGAGGATTATGAGATTGGGGTGCATGAGCTCATCGATAAATGGATTGGGGAGGGATTTCTTGATACTGATAGCCTAAGAAATGTATGGGAAATGCATGGCTATGGTGGATCTATAATTGAGAAGTTGAAGCTTTCATGCTTGTTGGAGAGTGTTGAAGATGAAATGTTTTTGCAGCGTTCAATTAAGATGCATGATGTCATCCGTGACATGGCATTATGGATAGCATGTGATGAATATAGAAGCAAAATGAAAGTTTTAGTACAAGAAGATGCATGGGTATTATCTCAAACTAATGCTGAAAAAGGGGAAATCGTTGAAAGGATATTAATCATGAAAAATGATGGATCACAAATACAAATCATGCCTTGGCGGAATCTCAAAACATTATGTTTGAATGTTGGATATAACTTATATAATAATCATGGTGCAATAACTGGATTAGAAAATATCCAACACTCAAGTCGATTAAGAGTCTTGGAACTAATAGGAGTGCCAAATGTACCTACAGAAATTGGTGGCTTAATTCATTTGGAATACTTGTCATTACACGAAGTAGAATTACAAAAAGTATCAGAATTCTCAAGTATGTTGAAGAATTTGAAAAATCTGAAGGTTTTTAATTTGTTTATAACAAATGGTGCTATTCCTTTGGGATTAATATCAAATCTTCAACAATTAAAAGTGTTTTGTTTTGCAACCAAAATTGTGGGAAGAAATAATGGCAAAGAAGAGAAAGAATTGCTAGAGGAGCTGGAGTGCTCATCAAATTTAGAGGAACTACAGATGAACATAGAAACTGAGAATGGCATCAACAAATTACTTGAGTCAACCAAGTTACAAAACTGTATATCTAGGCTTTGGATTGGTAAATATAGTGACTTACAAATCAAAATGCCGTTGCTGTCGGACGCAATGTCAAAAATGAAGCATTTACAGGTTTTGTACTTGCGTGGCGTGACTAATATTATGGAAGATTCTACTGTGTTTGGCACATGTTGTCTATCCATGCTTCGCGACGTGACTATTAAGGGATGCTACTCCATACATCATTTGACATGGTTGAAGTATGCCCCACTCCTCCAAGAACTTGATGTTAGGCATTGCTCCTCAATAGAAGAAGTGATAAAGGGAGAAGGATCAGAGGAAGAGAAAGATATAGAGAATGTGGATTCTATATTCTCTTCTCTTGTACTGCTGTCTTTAGATGATTTGCCAGGTCTTAGGAGCATTCATGAGAGAGTCCTGTCTTTCCGTTCGTTAAGATCCATCACAGTGTCTGCGTGTCCAAATCTAAAGAGGTTACCGTTTGATTCCAATTCTGCCAAGGCTAAGTTGAGGCTTATTGGTGGAGAACCAGAGTGGTGGGACAACTTGGAATGGGATGACCCAACCATTAAAGCCACTTTCCAGTCAAAATTTAAAGGGTTTTGAGCATTATTTTCTCAAAAGAGGTAAAGGCACTCTAGTTCTAGTATTATTAATGTTAGTCTTTTTAATTACTGGCCGTATCTAATTATTACTTATAATTAAATACCTGCATATATATCGTTGCAGATTGATTTCGTCATAATCAAAATATTTGGGAGCTGGGACGAGCTTGGTTTTCATGATCACTCTACTTCTCTTTCATTTGGAAGTACATAATTTTAATTATCTTGCAGGTATAAACAATATTATTCTTTTTTTTTTATATTTCCCTTTTCATCACATTTAGTTTTATTAATTATTTCATTCTTTGCTTTATTAACAAATGACTATATATATAACAGTGGTATGCTATAATTGAAATTTTAGATTTATACATTGTTATTTCAAATGAACTTTTCATCAATAACATAACTTGATTAAATTGCAAAATATATTTTTATGCCTCAAAACATTGAGAGAGAGAGAGAGAGAGAAGGAAATCACAGAAGCGCAGTCTAGCAGTTTGTAAATAGCACAGTTTAGCCTTAGGGATATAAAAAAATAGCAAATTGTTTTATGACCTCAAAATGTTGGCACAGTCATGCTCTTGATCTACTGAAGTCGCCCTGTCTTTCTTGATTGAAATTTGAATTAGTGATACAACTAATTAATAAGTTTATGATGAAATATGAGATACTAGTTAATTAAGATATTTTAAGATATTAAGATTATCTTAAGGAATATTTGAATAAATATAGTTATCCATTAGGATTAGGATTTGTTGTTTTATTTTATTTTTATCTTGGATATATTTATCTTCTACAAACTAGAAGTTTAGCATCTTATGAGTATCTTTTAAATTTAGGATTTAAATTTAAATTATTTTTTTTATTATTTTTAAAAATCTATAAATAAGGTTATGGTTCTCAAGTATATTCAATTTTTTGTGATTATTAAATAGAATTCTCAAGAATTTCGGGTTCCCCTTCTTCTCTCTCTCCCCTTTATATTTGCTCTTTTTCTTTTTTTCTCCTCCATGTTTCATGTCAGTTTACCAGGAATATATGACTGACACATGAGACTAATCTACGCAATTAAACTGATCAAAACAAACTACTAAATTCTGGCATAAAAGAACTATTGAATGGAGTGAGAAAGCAATGTTGCTTTATCTGTTTTTTTCTTCTGTGTTGCTTCCTGTGTTAAAATATATGACTGGCACATTGACATTTTTTTAGGGACTGAATTGTTTAAAAATATAAAATATTTTTTAACATTATAAGGTGTAATTAATGTATTGTTTTAAATACCCGTAATAAATATATCATTTTATATTTATTTTTAAGTAAAACACCTTATTAAATATGGGTAAATGTAAAAAAATGATGTTAGTATTTAATTAATTTATTGAGGGTAAAATTCCTTTATATTTTTTTGGAGTGTAAAAAATTGAATAGTGAACATCAATTCAGGAACTTGGAATCAGATTAAGTGTTTTTAAGAATTGGGTTTTAATCACAAAATTCCAATGTTTGGTTTGGATAATAAACCTTCTTGTAATTAGAAAGCCTAGGGGAGGGCGTTACCACAAGAAGAAACCGAGTACATTTGTAGACTTATTCACTAATTCATTTAACTTGGATTTATAAGGACGCCATATTTCCATCATCAGTTCCTAAGGGAAAAGGAGAATAAAGGTTCATATTTTCATGATTTTAATATTATATCATTAATTTTATGTACATAATTATTTATTTTTGTCAAACATATAACAGGTAATCATTAAGATATGAATATTCAAGCCCGAGGCCCCAACTTTGACTTCATTGGAGACTATTGGATTTCAATCAGATTTTACAAGCTAGCTAGTTGTGGTTTTCCTAATTTGCTTTAATAAAGACTCAATGTTTGAACATTTTAATTTGTATGAATTGTATTCATTACATGGTGTGATTGAAAGTTTGCTTGTTTTCTGTGTTTGGATCGATTGTGATGTATGGACTTTGCTTTTTATTTTTTCTTTGGTTTGGATGAATATTGTACAAGACAATATCAACTTGCTATTTATGATTATGCGTGCATTGTTTTTAATTATTATTTTCAATTCAATCGTTATTGGATTATTTTTATGGATAAGCATCTTTTATATTTTCAATATATCTTATTTATTCTCTCTAATCCTATTTTTAAGGAGTAGAGAGAATAAATTTTTTTATTATATTAATAAGTCACATTATTAATTTTTTTATTATAAGTTTTTCTTTTATCTTTTATTAAATGTTGGTGAGAAAAAGTACTAAAGCATGTATATGTAATAGTATTTAATAGGGACAAAGTCAAAAATTTAATAAATTTTTAGATAGAACAAATAAATTTTAAGGTTTTTTTTATTTTGATAAAACATATTGAAAATAACTTATAAATATGATCAAAAGAATATTATAATTAAAAAAAGTGACAGAATTGAATTATGTTGTTAGTTATATATGTTTTATTTGTTACTATTGGAGCTACCAAGGAGGCTCATAGCCTCATATTCTTGATATTGTTAGGAACATCATAATTTAATAGAAGGAAGATGTATTTGATGTTCATGCATTGTTGTTTGGACCTAACTAGCAAGTTTGATCGATCCAATTGGGACAGGCCAATAGTCTAAATCAGTCAACACCTTTTAGAACTAATAAAACGTAAATCGGTCAAGAGCTTATCAAAACTGAAAAGATAGGCCATGAACCTGTTTTATTATAATGTTGGTACAATTGATTTTTATTTTATATTTTTATTTGTCTTGTGATTGATTTTTCTATAGTGTTATACATCTATTTGATAATTTATTAATAATTTTAGCTCATAATAAAAGTTTATATTGGCTTGACTAGATAATTATTGTGCCATATTTGATGATTTAGATTATTTATAATTAATAATAAATAGTTTTGTCATAATATTGGTGCAATTGCCTATAAATTTTCAAATAAAATGCACTACAGATTGTTTACTTTTAATGGTAATTCTTTAAAGTCATCGTTAAAAGTTGTTGAAAGGTTTTATTTTTTTTTTTTAAGTGAAATGATATTAATCGAACCACAATCTCACCATAATTCAATAAGCTAATATCTTGGTCAGTTCATTAAGTTTTGACAATATTGGGTTCATGTTCATTTATTATTTCTTAAGAGTTAAAACTAATTTACTGTGGTAATAATTTTGACAATTATTTCTTTTATTATTGATAATTTGTTGTTGTATCTTTCGGAGGACTCTTTTTTTTTCCCCCTTTGCTTTTTAATCTACCATGAATTTTTTAAATCACTACCGACTTTGTCAATTATACTCACAAGAAATTTGTGTTACTATAAGAAAAAATAATCATTTATGGTCCTTCATATTTTGATTTAGTTAGAACTTGGTCTTTAATTTTTGTCTCAATATAATTTAATTCCTATAATTTTGACCTTTTTAAAACTTAGTTCCAAAGTATGAACCCTTTCAATTACATTTTTATAGTTTTATTTATTGTTGCTTCCATTTTAGAAATAAAATTATAAACAACAATATTTTTATTATAGCATAAGGACTATAGTTTTAAATGAATAAAATTATAAAAATTAAGTTACATTGAGTCAAAATTTAAACTATAAAAACTTAGTTACACCAAATTAAAAATTTAAAAATTGAGTTACGATTAAGGAAAAAAAAAAACTATAAAGATGAAATGATTATTTTTCTCTTTGACACATCCCAAAAATAAAGAATAATTGACACGAGATGTAAATTATATCATACATCCTATAAGCTTTAAATTAAAAAATCTTTCCATTTTAAAATATAATTAAATTTATACTAAGATTATGATATATTTAATAATATATGCATTATAACAAAAATTTTAATATTTTTGTAGAAATTTTGATAAAACCTTCTTTGCAAATAGAACCTCTTGAAAAGTCTACAATATAATGTTTTACACAAAATACCATATCAATTAAAAGTTTAACTCCTTCTAGCCAACAGACAGAATATATAACAAAATAAAAACCATAACTATAGCCTACGTGGAACGTCTAACAAATTTTCATAATAAAACACATAAATGGTATCATTACATCAAAAAAAAGGTATTCAAAAAATAATTATACATCTGTCCAGTTCAATTGTAAGCCCTCAATGATTAGCAGGAGGTTCAGCATCAATTAAAGTATCTGAGGCCAAAAATAATTTTTTAATGAATAACGTCCAAATAATAAATAATTGAATAAAAATAAAAGAAAAGTTTGAAATAATTATATGAATTAAAGAGATAACAATCTTCATATAAAATGTTTAATAAACTTTGAAATTAAGAAGCTCTATATAATCTTAAATAAAATCTTGAAACATAATATTTTTGTATAAAATACAATTATCACTAACTTTCAAGAAAATAAATAAACAAAATAAATAAAAATAGTAACATCACTAATCAAAATTAATGAAATATAAAATCACTAAACATTCAAAACTCATGTTTATAGAGACTTATCAGAATAATTAACAAATATGGATACATAATCAATGGGGATAAATAACCAAACATGATTTATGTCATGAAAACAAACATAGATATACAATTTATGAGGATAACTAACCAATCGTAACTTGAGTTACAAAACAAATATGAACAAACAGTTCATAAGAGTAATACTAATCAAGCATAGCTTGAAATTATGAAAACAAACACAGGTATTAAACCATGAATATCAAATATGAGAACAAATCTCACAATAATTAAATTACTTAGTTATTAATCAAGACGAGTCAATAGCTAATGGAATTACCATTAGCAATCAATGTTCTAAATATAGTCCCTTTCTAATCCATTCTCAAACATGCGAAAAAATTATTAGTATTAAAATATAATTTTCAGTCAAATTCACATGAATAATTTTAAATATGAATTCAATAATTATCAGGACAAAATTTCATACTTAATGCTCAAACTTATATTTATTGATTAACAAAAATTATCAAATATGGTAAAGGTACTTTCATCAATCTTGAAAATGTATCTCATAAGAAGAAGTGCATGCATATGCCACAATTTAATTATTCTTCACAATCATTTTATAATTTCATAAAATAAAGTAATTTAACTAACAAATTTTCAATAATCAACATTGTTGTTTTTAAAATAATTTACATAAAAGTATAATATTTCAATAAATATAATTTCATTGAAAAATCAGTTGGGACGCTATTCATCTACTTAAAATACTTTCGAAATTCAAAAATTCACCTCTCAACTTCAATTACATTTGTCATCTTCTAAACATCTTTTAAATTATATTAAGATTTTAAATAAACTTTTTAATAAATTCAATAACTTCCTTCCATCATTACCACTATCAAAATTTAACTATAATAAAATTGAAATTTTAAAATCAAGACTTTACAAATAAAAATCCCTCAAAAACCATAGCTCAATACTCCATTATAATACAATCACCTATTAAACATTTTGTTAAAACACCAAATGTACATTATTTTCAAATCTCACAATAAAGCTTTTTTAACATTTAAATGTCTTGCTTAACAATTTCTCAACAACCGCTTCACCCCAAAAAATTCAATTAACTACATTATCTTTATAATCAACTTTCTATACAATAACTGAATTCACAAAATAATAACATCCAAACCATTTGTTTTCCAAAAAATTTAATGAAATTTTAGAAAATAGACAGTGAAGCAGCTTCATTTAACAAGCATTTTATCAAACATCTTATAAATATCAATCTTTAAATTATAAGTTTAGGCTCATCTTCCAATCCCATCCCAACCATTTGCCCCAAACAATTCTATAATGCCAAATTGCCAATATTTGAATAAATACCTCTACTGCCAACACATTCACACGGCACACACAATAAAGAGGAAGGATCAGTTTCACAACATTCAATCCTCACCTACACGCACTGATTCAACAGAGAGGGAAAATTCACCACATATTCACACGCACGGAGTTAACTGGAATTATTGTTTGAAGCTTCAAACATGAATCAGCAATGATAAAGAAGGGGAAGGGAAAGAAGGAATCGACGAAAGCAGAGGAAGAAGAAGCTCGCAGCAACAGAAGTACCTACAGTGATCCACGGACAGGGAGAACAAGGAGAAAATGTCAGACCAACCACGGCCTCCACAGCAGTGATCGACGGCGATAATGTAGGGGAAGAATGAATGGATCTCAATTCAAATGTTGAATAGCAGAGCAAGCGTGAAACACGGCGACCTTGAGCACTCACACCGACAGTGAAAACTGCAAATGGAGAGGAAAAGGGCTGAGAATGACGGTGAACCGGGGAAGAAATCGCGACAGATTATCACAGCAGCGGTGGACGACTCCGGCACATGTCGGCGGCTAGTTAAAGGTTAGGGTTTCGGTGCATCCTTCCTGCTGCAAATCAGAGCCATCTCGAAGAAGAAAATACTGGTTTCTGATTCCTTTTTTCTCTCTGTTTTTTAATTGAACTGAGGGTGGTTTGGTAATTTTATAGTGATCTAAAATAAAAATAAAAAAATAACAATAAAATCTCTCTCAAATGATAATTTAATATTTTAAAATGTCATAATATTTTTAACATCTCTAAAAGTTTTTCTTTCATTAATAAATTTATTTAAATTATTAAATTATTTTGTTAAAAATAAATAATTTATAATTTTTTTATATTTATAACTTTTTTTTCTTAAATTCATAAAGAATTTTATTATCACTCTTTTAAAATAAAATTCTCCTTATACCATGTCAGGATTCGAACACGGACATACGAACACGGACATAACGTAAGAAGTTATTGATACAATATCGCCAACTTTTCCACTTCGCGATCCGTCCATATATATATATATATGTATATATATATAATTAAAATACTCTATTGTCAATTTAAATTTTAATTAAAATTGAGTTTTTTTTATCAAGAATTAAATCTTGGGTTGT